ATTATTATAATAAGGTCAAAGTTTGGGAATAGCTACAGTTGAAGTTCTTTTTAATATCATTTTTATAATTATGATTTTATATGCATATAAAATACGACCTATTAAAAAATATTTTTATACTTTGTGTCCTAGATAGATCTACGCTTCATTTTTTGACGTATTATTTTTACATAGTTTCACTTCACAAACTGGCATTTTGTAGTTTTGACTGCCGCATTTGACCAATACGCCGACGGAATCAAGTCGAGTGGACAAGACCAATCATTTATCTATGGTTTGTGTTAACTTGTTGTCTCAGAGAAAGTTGAATAGAGCAAAAGTTAAAAGCCTGCTGTCAGCACAGCATGGCAAGGTCAACTATTTATACAATATTATCATCATCAGATTATTAATCTCCCTATTGCTGAGGCACATACCTTTCTTAAGAATTAATTAGAAAAAACCGGCCAAGTGCGAGACTGGCCTCGCTATATCTGGGTACCGTAGAATCATTGTTTGTTTTCGTCACAACTTACGAAGTACATTCTGAATCAGCGTTTTCAATATTTCTTGTTTAAATACAGCAAACGGGACATCATATACAAAAATGACGCATTCTTAACTAGTTTCGATTTTGAGATAGACCCCAGAACAAAAATGGTCTAAAACTTATCAGTTAGATTTTTATTTATTCCCCATTACTCTTTTTAATGAACATTAAAAATAATAAAAATGTATTTATTATCCTACTCAACAAGCTTTAGACAATGATATATCATACGCTAGTGTGTAAAAAAAAAATTTGCCTCCTTTTTATCTATGGGACCCCACCCCCGCGAGAATTAATTTAACAGTATTTTTAACTAAGTACAATATGTTCGGCTTTGGGCAAGCGATTCGCGTAAAATACCATAATTTTTAGTTATGTAATTTATTCTGTTTACGATCTAGAGGCCAGTAATATATGGACAGACAGACAGACGACAGCAAGAGGGTTCCGTTTTTATCCTTTGGGTACGGAACCATAAAAATTAGCCATGACCCACCACGCGGGCATAAAGAGCTGTGCTAACGACAAAATCGTAAGAACTAATTCAATCACACTAATATTATAAAGGCGAAAGTTTCTGAGTATGTATGTTTGTTACTTGTTCACGTCTTAACGACTGGAGCGATTTTAAAAAAAATTGGTATGGAGTTAGCTGACCCTCAGGATTAACATATAGGCTACGTTTTACTGCGGGAAAATATCCCTAATAAACCGCGGGGCACAGCTAGTAATCAATAATTTGAAGATGGCACCTATAGATAGAATCCACCCATTTAGATAATTGAGGGCTTCCGATCAAAGCGTTATGAACAAATTGAAAAGTGCGCTAGGTACGATTAAAAACCGTCAAGTGATAATTATACCGTTCATTCGATCATAATTATCGATTGAACGGCCATTTGATTTGAGATATGTGGTGGTGGAAAATCGGGTTATTCTCTTTAGGGCCGTACACTGATTTAGTTTATGATTTCTTTTGTATTATACATGAATTCTAATTTAAATCAACTTTATTTTATTTTGGGTCGGCCAATAATACAATGAATAGTTGAATGTATTTTTATGTTTATTTGACTGAAAACGAGACAGCAGTTAAATCGATTCAATAAAAGAAATATTATTCTTATTATTATTTTTAGTTCAGTTATAATATTACAATACAAAAAAATAATAAGAAATGTAAATGTTTTTATTTTTATTTGTCAAAGAAACACATAATACAGATAATGATTTTAAGTAAGAATTAAATGCCTGCCGATTTTTTTTTACTATTTATCTTAGATAGCAACCTCTTACGAGCAAACCCCAATTTCGCGCGGTTTGGAAAAGGGGCAATTTCACATCTTGTACCCCTAGCACGAACTATTATCGAATTCGAATAGTTTGCGAGTGCGAAATGTCAATGTCATATTTTGTATGAAAATTTGAACAGCAGCACCACAACGGACGTAACTAGAACTAAAAATCTGTACACATTTGACAATGACATTTCGGACTCGCAAACGATTCGAATTCGATATTGGTTCGTGCTAAGGGTACTGATGTTTTTCCAAGGATACCGGGACGCAGAATGAAAAAAATATGTAACTGTCCCGTTTGAAATGTGACGCATGGTCATCATTATTATTTTATTGTAGAATACTGTATCGTTATTGAAAGAAATATTATTGAAAAACATTATAATAAACATTTCATCACAACAATATTTTATAAGTACAAGGAATAATGAGAATTTTATTTAGCACGAGGGCTCCGTATTTAGCAAGAATATAATTCTATTATTTTCTACTTACAAGAAATGCATTTATTTAGTTACATTCGTAAATAATTTTACTACTTAGTCGATATGTTGTAATATCTACTACTTTCCTAATTATTTTGTACATTCAATTTTGTCATATATTATCTATCAAATTGCATTTGTGTCAATTGATATTAATCGATAAAAAAAAGAGTTCTCATAATTTGTGGCCAAATTTTTTTTTATCGATAGGTCCGACAAATGACTCTACCCTACCTGATGTTAAGTGACGGTGAAGTCCAGATGCGAAGATTATGAAATACATTTTTTGTATTACTGGTTAGGTGGAAGGAATAAACACATTTATGGACGATTCAAAACAGCTATTAATTAGTCAATTTGAATAAAGTATATTTAAATTATATTCATTAAATTTTTTGTAACAAAATATTAATAACTAAAATATATTTTTAGAGTGACATTTTGATCATTACAAGACGCACTTGAAAATGAAGCTGACCAAGATCGTATTCAATTTGCAGCATCACTTCTAAAATATTCATTGAGCATAATATGTATATTTAAAACCATTTTTAGCTTACACACACACCATGTTAAAATTTAAATGAAGTATACGAAATTGTTGTATTATTATCATACCGATAAATCAATACCATTACATTATTATAGTTCACTCTCGATTGAAGCATGCTAACGTCAGAGTGACACGCGAGAACTAAATTAGTTCAACTAATGTGTTAGAAAGAATAAAATACAACAATGTCATCCAATAACGTTATCGTTATCACTCACTCAAAGACTTCTGTCTGCCATTGATTACCTCGAACATTTAGACAAAAAATATGTTTAGGAGTGTACAAAAATACAAAGCAACCGCGCATTTATGCAGAATCATGATGATCTTAAAGTTTCACAATGGTAATGTTTTCGATTTGATTTACTAAACCTTCCCCCATATTAATAAACGAAGAATAAGATTAGATCAGTTAGGTACTCCATGTTTTGTTTCTATTCATCTATATATATAAAACTCAAAGGTGACTGACTGACATAGTGATCTATCAACGCACAGCCCAAACCACTGGACGGATCGGGCTGAAATTTGGCATGCAGGTAGATGTTATGACGTAGGCATCCGCTAAGAAAGGATTTTGATCAATTCTACCCCCAAGGGGATAAAATAGGGAATGAAAGTTTGTATGAAACTTTGTCAATTTTAAATCGATGTGTATAATAAAAGCCTAAGAACAAAAACTGTAGTCTACACTTCAGCTCTACACCGAAGCGAAGCGAGGGCGGGCCGCTAGTTGAATAATATATGGTTGCGGCATTTGAGTGATATGAACAAAACACAGCGTAATTAGTCTAAACTAATTCCTCGTTCATTAATAAGGGGGTTTGCGTTTGTTCTGTGTTGTTCTAAAATGTTAACTATTTGTTCGACCAGTTACATATCGCTGAATTCACTTTTATCATGTTTAAGTTTTAAATGATTTCTGAATAGTATTAGTAGACCGCTTAACTGAGCCCTCGCCTGCGGGGTAGGTGGTGTGAGGGAGGGCGCAAAACGGGGACCGTGAGAGAAGCGGGCGGTGGGTATATTCTTGTGAAAATTACAAGTGCCCGCCGCCCGCACCTCTCACGGCCCCCTTTCTCGTGCTCCCCCACACCCTGTACCCCGCAGGCGAGGTCTCAGTTAAGCGGTTTATCTTTAATTTCTCGCTTTTCACAAAAAAGCCTTCGTTGTGATAAGAGTTGTATTCTACGTAGTGTGTTTTGGGTATATTAATTCATTGATATATTTTACAAAATATATTATTTTTTGTTAATCATAAGTTTTTTAATTTTGCAAGTTAGCTAATATACAACTTTAAAAGCCTCTTTAGGTATTTCTTTGAATTAGAGCTAAGCCTTTTACTTGTATTTATCTATTAAAAATATTTATTTTTAATTTCGCTAATAATAATCGATTAGACTTGTTTGTTAAATAAAGTAAAATTATATATTATACATTCAAATTAAATAACTTGAGCATTTTACCATTTAGGTTTAGTTTCAAATTCAAGTGTATAATTTAATTATTTCATATTATTAAGTATGGTAATTTTGAAAATTGGTAGGTACTTATCTTGTTTATAGGTTATTATGGTATAATTCGCATAAGAAATTGAATTGATGATTATATAAAATATGTAAAATAATACATTAAATTACATTTATTAATTAAAAGTGTCCTTTATAAATTAATAATATCAGACTCTGTGTACCTATTCTTTGATAGACCAAGAAACATTTAGATAATATTAAGTTATCACGGAATATGGCCATTTCGCAAATTATCTTAAATCATAGTTTTAAAACTGCAAATTGAGTCAAGTTAATTAAATACCTACTTAAAAAATACACTATTGAACTTCTAACAGTTCTTTTTCTTAATGTGGTTTTAATTGATATTACCAAGGAAAAGTGATTTTCAAACATACATAGATTTTATGTCATTATTTTACATTTTTAAAGCATGCTTCTTTATACAGCCACCAATTAGTACCGTTCAGCATTCAGAATTAACTATAAAAATAATCACATTTTAATATCTCCACATATCACAAATTGATTCACTAAAGTCTACACACTTAACTGATTCACCACGTATCCGTATCCTCACAGTCATGAAAAAAAAAACTTTGAATCAACAACTCTTAGATCTATTTATATTTTCTTCTTCTTCTCGATTTCTTTCGACGGTAAGAACAGAGCGACAAATTTCTGCAGCAATTCCGTAAATATCATTGTCCCTATGAACACCAGCAGGGTTCCGAGCCAATGTCCAAGTGTGAATGGATTCTTGAAATATACTATGGAGAACAAAAGCGAAACGAACTTCCTCAGAGTCACTGTTAAAGTGACAGTCAAAGACGCACATTCTGTGGTCAAAACGTACACGGCACTGATGCACAAGCCTTGCGTCAACACGTACAGAACTAGCCACAGGACTTGCCTCGGCACAATAAAACCCAAAAACTCCATTGTAGGAGTTTCCGTCGCCAATTTGACGTGTCCAATCAGATTAGTCGCAGTCGGCAACCAAAATACTAACGGCATCAAATGTGTGTAATACAGTGCTTCCCATGGGTGTTTCCCATGTTTGGAGTACAAAGACTCTTGGAATATGCCCATTCTGGCTGAAACGAACAGTGCGAAAGTCAGAATGAATATGCCCATACACCACCACAGCCAATCGATGAACTTCAGTTTTTCCTCTTCGACTGCGTCTGCATGCGTTTCCCGTGGAGCTTTCACTTCAGAACTGGACTGTATCGTACAAATGGCTATACCCGCTGAGATCATGAAGATGGCCAGGTACTTTAAGGGTGGATACCGTTTCTTTAGTATCCAAACGCCCATAGCCATGTTGGCCATTAGGGAGCCGGCCCGGAATATCATATGTAGAGGCATCGATATGTTGAAATTGAACGCGTAGTTGTTCGCTACGCTACTGCTCCAGAAAAAGCCGACTAGGATGAGGTATTGCTTAAAGGGTATGTTCCTTGCGGCTGTCCCGAACTTGCCGACGGTACAAAAACCCATTATGGCGATGAACAGGAACTGGAGGAATGTCGCCAGGTTCCCGGCGCCAGGATCTTCTTTTACCACAAGCTCGAGGAACACTACATTCGAACAGCATCCCACGAAGACCATGGTTATGGCAAGCGCCGCTTTGATATTCATTTTGACTCTGAAATGAAGACGAAGATTGATACGGTCAATGACATAATGAGGTTATACGAAACTAACTTTCTCTTAATTAATTGTTTTCTTAAGTTGACCTTAAATTCAACTTGAAGTTAAAAACAGATAGAGAATTATTGGTAAGCTGTGTTGTCTAATAAAATATAACGAGACAAGCTACCTTCGCTTTATGTAGCATATATATATTTAATATACCTAGTGTATTTTTTATGATAGTGATATTCATTAAAAACTTAATAATAACATTAATGTAAATGAATTACCAACCGATATTGTCAAAATACTATTGATTTTATTAAAAAAAAAAAGAATGTCATTACCAGGATTCGAACCCAGAACTTTTGATACAGAAAGCAACATTGAAACGCTAACACCGACCAAATTTTACAGCAAGTACAGCATAAATAAAATAATATCATAAATAATAATATAAATGTACATAAATGTGATCATTATAAGTTACTATTAATGAAATTACAAGTATAATTTCCTATCATCAAAGTTACAACAAGATAGCTTTATTTACTATCATTTGCGACAACAGCTATTACTTCACAATAACGTAACACATGCGCAGAAACGTCAACGAAAGGCCGAGCCGAGTGAGGAGAAGCCCATTAATGAAAATAACCTCGAAATTAACAAGGACCTTGTGTACTTACATTTCTTTTGTAACACTGTTCCCAAACTTGTTATGTTTAGTATTTTATTTACACGTCTCACTTCGTAGAACACATTTTGTAACAATTAAACTCGCACGTTAAACTTGACGGCTGACAGCGATGTGTACGTAGTTATCAAGCGATGACCCTGGCCTCGACTGTACGTCTGCGGAGAGCATGCGCGAGCCCGCGCCGGCCGATAAAACAGTGCTGTCACTGTAACTCGCGCGTCAAAACATAGATGGCATTACTCGCCGTTATCTTGCCTCCATTCTGAACAATACCTTGTTATCACACCGATTATCCAATTCATGTTTGCATAAATGAGTATGTATGGAGTACCTATTATAAGGCATTGTGTTAGTGAATAATACCCATATAATTAATAAAAGATTTATTTTGTAGTTGAACTTTATAATATAATATTTTAGATGTTTTAAAATACTCTATTTGATTAGGTACATATCTGCCTTCTTTTATGTTGACACGCTAACCTACTTCTTTATAATTACTTACTTTTTAATACCTTAATTACTAAATATACACAAATGGTAATATATATGATACTGGGTAAAATCAATTAGAGAAACAACACGTTTAATATAGGTAATAATATTTATTCCACCTTTTCTATGCCCATTATTTTTCCTATTAAATATCGTTTTCCTCTTCTAAGCATTTCGATTAACCACCACTTAGTATCATCATGTATCTCTTGTGGCATAACATAACTATAAACTCATTTTTTCTGCAATCTTACTCTTTCTCTATTTAGGTATTTATTATTAATACATGGTTTCAAAAATGCTATTCTGTAAAAACAAACTAACTTTTAGGAAATCGCTGGTGTGATCTGAAATTTATTTGAAATTCCTAGATGAAAAATTGGTTTGCGTCTTTACAGAATAGCACTGCTGCTCTCTTCTTTTCATTATCTTGAACGTGACAAATTAACGCTACTTCCTAACAACAAACCTAAATATTTGCAAGTCCCTATCATTATTATAGGTAATTTATTCTCTAACAATACCAACATCCTGACGTTATCCACCACAATACTAATTTTCAAGTCATAATATCTCTCAGTAGTCTCTCGAACGAACGCGGTGCGCGATAAAAATAGATTTATTGCTCCTTTATTACCATAACAATAAGTTTTGTGGTCCTAAGCCCCGAGAAATGGGTTCCGATTTAAGTTAACAAGGGTCCTACAGCCTACAGGGCACCGACAAACGATTACCTACTCAAACCTGTAAGACGGAAGGCTCGATGTTGTAAATGTGTAGGTAAATACAAGGCAGGGGATCGCTAAACTTGTCCATTTCTTTAAGTTGGGTCAGAATGATGTGCCTTATTTCTTTTTTTTCTAAATCGAGTAGCTAGTTATAAAATTTTATGAAAATTTTACTGGAGGAGAGTAGGGCATAACGGATTTTGCTTGGGATATTAACCTCTACCTTATAGAAGACAATAGTAAAATTACATCACCATTTTGGTTGTGTTGTGTTTCTGTCAGGGCTTGTTTACCGGTTAATTTTCAAACCTAAATCAGTATCAAGTACATTAGGAGCGTTTTATTTATGTTTGGGTCTATCTTAACTTTAAAAAACCGGTTTTCCTAAAAAGCGACAGGTTTTGAATCAGTTAATCGGTTTTTAAAGGGTTTCATTTCGCTCTAACTGACGGCATCGCCTTCGTCGTTTCAATTCGAAGTTATAATGATATTACGTCAGTTTCTTTTCGACTACAGAGCAAGTGAGTGAAGTAGTGTGTCAGTACACAACTACAAAATGAATAACTTGACTCACTAGACGCTATCAAACGTGTCAATAAATGCATCAATCTCTGAGCATTGACAAGTTGTGACTTTATTAGTTCAAACAAAACAAACTTCAAGTGATGACGACGCGTGCACGTGTCGCTCTGGATTAAACCGGTTTATTAAGGTTTTAGGTACCGCTTTCATTTCGGACGCACTCCGAACGAAACCTTTACTAAAAACCGGTATTAACCTTTGTTTACCGGTATTTTCGAAACCGGTTACAAGCCCTGGTTTTTGTTGGTAAGTAAGGGTCCTGGGCTCCACGGGTAGGCATCGGGGCCAGTGTTATTTTTTGTATCACAAGCGTCTGTAGTCTGTTGTGGCCGCTTTCCAACAAGCAAATCATAAGCTTGTTTGCCACCCTTTAAAAAAAATCGTTATCGTCGCAGTTTTTTTATATAAAAAGAACACAATAATAAAGGACATTGTTCTGCGACCATACATAGTTAGCCTAAGAACCAACAATCATGAAATATTATTTTCTAGGTTCGAAATCGCAAGTAAATGACTGTAAAAACAAAGTTTATTGACGGACACTTCTGAGAACTTAAATTATTAGGAAAATTAATTTTTTTTTGAGGTTATCTCAAAAAAAAATAGTTTAGTTTAATCAAACATAGGTCAACATATGAACTTAGTATGAACTCAGTATGAAGTGAATTAATATTACAACTAATTCATTTTATTCGGTGCGATTTTAAAGAATAACTATTTTTTTTTTTATATTAGGAAAAACTTGGTTAGGTATGAATCATATATAAAATAAAAACTGTAGTTTTGCTTCTTATTTACTGACTATTTTTACATAATTGGATCATATTGTATTTATTTGTTTAACACATGTATAATTGTAAATATGCAGCGTGAATGTGTATCAGGTGCTCTTGAATAATTTGGCAGTATGATCCTCTCAGGATGTTGTGGCACAGGTTCACTAGCACTTGGTATTAAGGTCTCTGCTCTTTCGATGGCATATTAAATAGCCGAAATAGTTAAATTAAAGGAAAAACAATCGCAAATAAACACACAAAAAGGGTAATCCGAAACAAGAATGCACTTGCCGGTATTTATACTACTCTTTGGAATGCACGACTGCCACAGATTACTACGAATGCAAACTGCCTGCACCACAACCACAGAGTATCGAGTTTTATCCTTACGGCCCTTTACTTGACAACAGTTTGTCCTTGTCATGCTTAATAAGGAATGAAAAGGACAGACTGATGTCATGTTTTAAAATAGCAAATACGAATAGCCAAGTGAAGTGCCGGCATTAGGAAGAAAGAGTGTTTTGTTTGCAGCGCTGTCATAGATTAAACACATAAAATGGTATTTATTGTCTCAGATTATTTTTCAACTTTTTAATTTAGCTTACTTAAGTGGAAGTGTCCGTCACAAACTAAATACTGATAATTATCACAAAAAATATACTAAGAATTATCATAAATGCCAAATTGGTGTTGGTTCTTAGGCCAATTTTAACATTGTCATTTGATCCGCCAATAACATTCGATTTCAAATGCCATAGTAGAATTTGCAGTTAAACTTTGTAAATATCCTTCGAATGTCAAATTGAAGGCGTTATAGCAGTTAAAGTTGTAGGCAATATCAGCCAATTTGATGCCAAACCCACATTTGCCTATTTCCCGCGTCGGCCGTGTTGCTCTATGCTATTTTCTTACAAACATTTCAAAATATTAAGGTAGATTTTTGAGATTGAGGAGCTCGATGGCGCAAGTGGTTAGCGCGTTCGGCTGCGATCGTTGAATTTAAGCAACTTTCGCAGTGGTCGGTCATTGGATGGGTGTACAAAAATCTTTTATCTCGAGTTCCTCCGCTAAGCCGTTGGTCCCGGCTGCATCTGCAGTCGTTAGCAGCCCTGACAATCCGCATTGGGCCCCCGGTGGGGCATCGCCCTATCTCCCTATGAAGGTAGATTTTTACATAAATGTACGTATTCCTGGAAATAAACTTATTATTTTCTGAACAATTATATTTGTCATGACAGAATTTGCCGCCTTCTTTTGACATTTTTTTGGTATTAATTGGAGTTATGTCCATAGGACTCAGGATTTCTTTATCACAAAATTTACCCAAGTTTTTCGTAATGTCTAGATATCGAATGAGTTTTTATTTCACGATATTAAAAGTGATTTCGAAATTCAAACCAAAATGTTATCTCATGAACTTAATTATTTTTTAAGTTTTGTATGTTTGTATACCTAGTTTAGATTTTATCACTAATTTTGTCAGAAATAACAGTGGAGTATGCCTGTAACTGGTTTTGCTCAACTTTATATATAAAGTATGCTATAATTTTTATTTCTAAGCATGTAACTGCGCGATGTTTAAATCTAAAGAAAATAAAACTAGAAAAAAGTCCACGCGGATCAGGCAGCAGACGGGACTCGAACCCGCACCGTAGGCGAATGCACTGACCATTATGCTACCGCGGTCTGACGGCAGTGTCGAATTCTTTCTAGCCTTTCTTAAGCTGCAAGGCAGCGTCATCTCTTCGCATTGTAGGTAACCGACAATAAAAAGTGTGTTGTTTAATTACGTTGGGTGTAAAATTGTTGGCATGCCAAACAAATAAATCTATTGCATTGAAAACAGAAGATCATTGATCCATATTAATACAGTTTTCTTGTTATTAGACGGTCGTAAGTGCAATAAGCGATAACGCATTCTATAAAAAAGAAAACTTGACTCTTTTTATAATTTTAAGCTATTTATCGGGCACGTAGGACAGAAATTTTGGGAAACGCCATAATAATAGCGAGAATCTTTAGCCATATCATAATATATGGCTAAAGATTCTCGTTCATATATCTTCATGGCCTTACCCGACAACGAAGTCTATTCATGCATTATTCTGACTTAAAAAAAAAGCTGGAGCTACTAGTTGCTTTAGAAACGGGAGCCATTCTAGGAACGAGACTTAAAATTAAAGATCTCAAAGCCCTGAAGGATCGTGTTAATGTCACCTCAGCGTGAGTGACAGCTCTGGTGTAACAATCGTGCCACCTTACAATCGGACGGGCCCTCTTTGTTAGTAATCCTGCTGAGCTTAACATCTGTTTGACACAAGTCGAACCTTTGTCGTAATGTTTCAGTTGACGAGCACAGGAAATGAAATAAATAAGATTTGTTTTTTGAAGTGAAACTGTATGAAAATGTATGAAAACTACAAGAAATATGTCCGGTGGCGGCGTTTTGTGATTGCGGTCGATGGCCTGTGTGTGGCGACACTCTACAGTGTCGTGAAGTTTACATACATTTTATATGGACTCGCCACACACGGTACGCCGGTGGCCGCCACACGCTACAAATCGTCGTTGCTCCCTGCTTGTAGCCCGCGCCGGCCACTTAATGCGCCGATACAAAACGCCGCCACACGTTACTCGCGCGCTTCCAAAAATACCTTATTTTATCTAAAAGTTATGATAAGAAGTTTAGAATTGTGAGGGTAAATACACACCACATCAAAG